TCTAAGTAGAAAGCCAAGGCCCTCCGGTCATCCAGGGCATGAAGACACCTCTCTTCACTGGTCTTGTGCGGTTTGGGACAGACACTGGGAGGAAGATGTAGACCACCTTCGGCAGGAAGGCCGGGTGGGGCCGCAGCTGAACCTTGTCCTTGTAGAAGACTGTGTATGGCGATTCTGAGGTCAAGGCTTTAATTTCAGAGACCCGTCTTGCCAATGTCACCGCCATCAAGAACTTGATCATCCATCATAGGTGGGAAAGGGAGCAGGAACCCAGTGGTTCAAAGGGCGGACCAGTGAGCCTAGAGAGGACCAAGTTAAGATCCCATTGCAGGACAGGAATCCGTACCTGTGGGAAGAGTCTCTCAAGCCCTCTCAAGAATCTGACCGTCATGTCATGGGAAAACACCGTCTGCCCTTGGATCGGCAGGTGGAAAGTGGAGATGGCCACAAGATGCACTCTAATGGAAGAGTGAGCCAGGCCCTGATTCCTCAAATGGAGCAGGTAGTCTAGGACAGCCTGTATGGAGGAATGCAAGGGAGAAATGCCACGTTCGGACGCCCAGCAGGAAAACCTCGTCCACTTGGCCAGGTAAGTCAATATAGTTGAGGGCTTCCTACTTCCCAGGAGAACCTATTGGACTCCTTCCGAACAGGTCCGCTCCTCCAGGTTCAGCCACGCAGCATCCACACTGAGAGGTGGAGGGACGTGAGGTTGGGGTGTAAGAGCTGATTGTGGTCCTGTGATAGCAGGTCCGGTCGGTTGGGCAGGGGCCAGGGAGGGGCCGCTGACAGGTTCATGAGTGTGCCGAACCAGTGCTGGCGAGGCTATGCCAGGGCGATCATGATAACCTGCACCTTGTCTCTCTTGACCTTTGCCAGGACCTCGCCGATGAGTGGAATTGGAGGGAACGCGTACATCAGACTCCCTGACCACGGCAGGAGGAAGGCATCAGAGAGGGAGCCCTTGCCCAGACCTTGCTGAGAGCAAAACCGGTGGCATTTCCTTAGTTGGCACAAAGTACTTGCACTCATTTATTCTGTATAGATTATTTAGGTTAATCTTTCTATCTACCCAATGGGACTCAGTGCTCAGTCTAGAAGATACCATCAGAGATGCTTAGTTTTCAAGTTCTCAAACTGTGGATTTGTGTCTCCAGAGATAACATGCTTGTTAACAGCAAAATTGTTTTTAAATAAATACATTGATTTGAGATCTACCATACCATTCTCTCAGTAGAAGGGAAAACCTATAATGGCAGCAGGCCATAAAAGAGACCCAGTTTGGGAATAAGAACAATTCAAGAAATATATGTGTGCTGATGATGTTTTAAAGAAAGTCACACCAGTGAACTGGTGAAAGTCATGTAACCACTTGGATTCAGAGACTGTTGAAGTGATAATCTCACTTTTAACAGCAGTAGCTTCTTCTTTCAGTGTAGAAAGAATATTTTCTTCCTTTGGACTAATTCATTCCAAATTGAGAAATCGTTTGGGACTTGAAAAAGCAGAAAAGCTTGTTTTTCTTTTCCAGATTATGAACAAACAGGAAAATGAAGGTGAAGACGGCTGAGTTAGCAGCTAATATTTTAAGTTTCTCATGTTGACCTGGCAGTCAATTTTAATTTTTATTTTTTTAAAAATATTTCATTTAACTATTTTAGTTAAAAACAATTTTAACAAAAATAAACCTGATTTTAAAAAATCTTGAATGTTTTGAACTAAATTCAAAAATTCATATGCTTGTTTTGTTAAAATATTATATATTTGCTGTTGAAGAAAAAATCCAGAATACATAACATTGTTGTTTTAGTTAAAACAAAACAATTTAAATGTCTGTCTGGTGATGTTCTCCTCCTAATACAGCATGGCAAGAAAATCCTCCAAATATTAATGATTAACCTGTTGAACTGGAGACAGTCATTGGGAGGTGAACTTCATAAATATCTGCTTCAATTACCTTTGGTAAATGAAATAACCAAACAATCATTCATTTTCCAATATAGCTGTAAAACTAATCTGAAAAGTTTTCAAAATAAATCACTTTAAAAATGTATAGTGTGTACCTTCTAAAAATGAAACCTACATCTATCTCTGAGTTGTGAAGAATATGTATTAAGGTTATAACAACCAATAAGAATGCACTTTTATGTAGAAATCCATGATTAAATCAAGTTGACTAGTGATTTAAATCATGATTTAAATCAAATCCACCCTGCTCAGAGGGTCTGCGCCAATCTACCGGCGAGTTACGCCTCAAGTCCCTCGATCAGTGCTCCCTGTGTGGAGACCGAAGAGGGCTCCCCTGAGTCTGCCTCTCTAGTCCCAACGCGGTTTTCCCCGGGACAGGGGTATCACTGGAGCCAGTGTGGGCAGCACCGAGAGCATTAGGATCTCCTGAGCCGCTTGAAGGGTTTTGGGCGTCAACGGCACCTGAAGCTGGCTGGGGCCTGCACCGCTATCTGGAGTTGCAGTCGAAGGGTGGGATGGGCTGCACCGCTTGACTTGAGCAGGGGCCAGACTTCCCAAAGGGGGTGTTGAGCTGCCCAGCACGGGTCTTGGCTCGCCCCCAGCTCTCTCCTTTCCCTTATGGGAGGTAGGAGATCTTCCCCTCAGTCTTTTTCGGCTTCTTGACTGGAGGGAGTCCGGTGCCGGCTCGTGGATAGCGCCAGTGGAGCACTGCTCACAGAGGCCGTGGTGCTCGGTGCAGAGTTGGACCGCTGCTCTGGTGCCGAGTGAGTGCCGACTCCATTAGGAGCACTCTTAGATGGATATCGTGCTCCTTCGTCCTAGGTTTGAAGGACTTGTAGATACGGCACTTGTCACTTATGTGCCCTTTGCCTAAGCACCTTAGCAGCTGGTATGTGGATCGCTGACAGGCATAGGCCATTTGCAGCAATCGCAGGACTTAAGGCCTGGGGAACGGGACATGCCCCGTCCCCCAGCTGAGTCCTGTTCGGGACGAATGAAGAGTTTGAAAACTACTACAAAGGGTAACTAATAAACTACTATCTATATACAACTATATTACAGGTTTTTCAAAGTTTGCAAGAACAGAGAATGAAACAATGCTAGTCGACGCAGCAGATATTCCAGCACCGTCACTGGCGGCAAGAAGGAACTGAGGGTGGGGGGAGCCAGTGGCGCCCCTTATACCGTGCCATGTCGGCGCCACTCCAGAGGGCACCAGAGCCAGTCCCCTATGGAGGACTTCCGGAACCTGTGCATGTGGCGAGCACACACACCTAATATGGAATGGACATAGGCAAACACTCGAAGTTTTAATGGAAAATTTTCAACCAGCCCTAACTAAAATGCATCTAGAAACAAAGAATGTAGGTCACACTTAAACAATGGGGGACTGTATCCTGGAAAGCAGTGACTCTGCAAAGGTCTTAGAGGATAAACAACTAAACATGTGCTCTCATGGTAACACTGTAGTTGAGAGGGCTAATGTGATCCTTAGAGGTATAAGCAGGGATTATCAGGAAGGAGTAGGAGGTGTTCGTACCTCTGCATATGGCATTAATGAGACCAGGACTGGAGACGGTGTCCACACTTTAAAATGGAAAATTGAAAAATTGGAAAGGGCTCAGAAAAGAGTTACAACGATTGAGTCTGGAAAACCTACTTTATAGTAGCAGCAAAGAGTCCTGTGGCACCTTATAGACTAACAGACGTACTGGAGCATGAGCTTTCGTGGGTGAATACCCACTTCGTCGGATGCATGTCACTGCTTTATAGTGGCAGACTAAAGAAGCTCAATCTATTTAGTTTATCAAAGAGAAGGTTAAGAGCTGACTTGATCATAATCTACAAATACTTACGTGGGGAGATTTCCGATATTGGGTGGTTCTAATCTAGGAGACAAAAGCAGAACAAGAGCGAATGGTTGGAAGCTGAAACCAGACAAATTCAGACTAGAAATCAGGTATAGATTTTGACCAGTGAGTGTAATTAACCACTGGAACAATTTACCTAGCCATGTGGTAGATTCTGTCACATCTCATCTTTAAATCAAGACTAATAAAACTCTCTAAAAGATGCTGTAGCCAAAACAGAAGTTATGGGCTTGATGCAGAAATTACTGGCTAAGCTCCTATGGCCATAACAGCCCCTTCAGATCTAAGCATCTAACGGGGTGGTACCCACCTCTCGCAAGTGCCTCCTGGTCGAGTGTGTGCGTGCCTGCAGTTGTTCTTAATGTCTCAGCTCACGATGCCTCCTGTAGGCCACTGTGCTTGTCAGGAGGGTCTTCAGTGACTCAGCCCTCCAATCAGGTCACACACAGTCCATGTGCAAACAAATAAACCCCTTCTGGGTTATGAGTCCAAAATGTCTTGCAGCCTTCCCCAGGCTCAGTCCTTTAACAATCCAACCGGGCCCATCATGGTACCCCTCCATTGGCAACATCTCTTTAGCTCTTCTCGGGCTCCCGGCCTCAGTCTGATCAGCAGGGCCTATCTCGGTACCCTAGTTGGCAAGCTTATATGTGAAGGTTCCTGCTCTGGGATGGAGCAGCACCCCCAGGGATGCCTCCCCAGAAACTCTTCACCTGCCTTTTAGTCCTCTGACTCTTGCTCTCCAGATGGGTCAGTCTCAGTTCAACCCCCTTCTGGGGGGGCTAACAGGTCCATGTACAGCCCCTTCCCTGGGCCTGTCTAAACTCCCTTCTCTCAGTCACAGTCACTTCCCCAATGGCTGTTGGGGGAACCTGGACCTACCCAGCCCAGGGACCCTCTAAGTAGCAACCATGTGCCACATCCCTTTAACTAACTGCATTTCCCTGGGCCACTTCCCGGTAGCCCATCTTAATTGAGTCCTGGCAGCCAGCCAGAAATTATTCCCTCACTTCCTCACCAGCAAATACCCGCCTTAGACCTCAAAGCCCACCAGGCACACCTCTTGCTTCCCCAGTCACTGCTAGCAGACTGGTCTAGTTAGGCCTTTCAGCTCCTTTTATATGAGCCTGCTGGGCCCTGATTGGCTGCTCCCTGCAGCCGCTCTCATTGGCTGTGTCCCACAAGCTGCTCTACACAGCTTAGAGGACCTCTCTATTGCTCTTTTCTGGGGAGGGGTGAGGCAGGGCAGTGAGGCCTCCAGCAGGGAGCCTCTGGACCTAGTCTAATCTGTCACAATTTCCTATTTAAAATGCTAGTTTTCAAAGAACAGTGTCACTGTACTCATCAGACATGTATTTAATCAGCAGTTACTCTAATAGCAAATAATCCAGTTATGTAACAATACAAACTCTGAAATCAGGCTTCGGTGGACACCAAGATCAGGTCAGACTAGAGAGGATCATAGAATCAGAAATGTAGGACTAGAAGGGACCTTGATAGGTCATCTAAGTACAGTCCCCTGCACTGAGGCAGGACTAAGTATTATCTAGGTCACCCCTGACAGGTGTTTGTCTAACCTGATCTTAAAAACCTCCTCTGACGGAGATTTTATAATCTCCCTAGAGATAATTTGTTCTGGTGCTTAACTACCCTGCCTCGGGCCCTGACCACAGCCCAGCTGCGGCTCTGCACCCAGCCCCAGTCTTGGCCCCAGCCCCTGGGCACGGCTCTGTTCCTGTTTATTCCCTACTTTAGGGTTACCATCCGTCCGGGTTTCTCCGGACATGTCCGGCTTTTGGGTCTTTAAATAGCCGTCCGGAGGGAATTTGTAAAAAGCTAAAAATGTCCGGGATTCCCCCCCGACGGCTATCTAAAGACCCAAAAGCGGCTGACAGGGCAGCCGCGCCGGATTGAGCCGCTCACTTGGGGCCGCTCGGGCAGCAAAAGCCCCTCCCCCGCTTCCCCCTCCCTCCCCTGCAGCTTCAGCACGCCGGTAGCAAAATGGGAGCAGGAGCTGTTTGTGCCGCTACAAACTAGAGTGGCCCAGAAAGCCACCCCCCTGCCCATGGCAGCCGGCCCTGATTGGCCAGCCCCGCTCCCTCCCCCGCGCTGGGGGCGAGTCAAGAAACAGGGAGCAGG